AGACATCAGACCGACACCGACTTTGAAATAACAATTGTAAAGTATAGACATATTTCCAGAAAGATGAGAAATTTCTCACTTTCGTGGATGTTTGTCCATGACATTATTTTGTTACTTTTTAGTGCATTTGTTTAGGAATGTTTTTTTTTTTTTGTTTTCGAAATTTTTTTTTTTTATGAAGTCGGCTTTCTTTTTTTTTTTTTTTTTTTCTTAATTTTGTTATAGAGAATCATCATCATCATCAGCTATCATCACTGAACGTCCTAACCGAGGTGCTCGGAGCCTTATAGAGAATAATATAAATGAAATTGAATATACAATTTTCATACGTGCATACGTGTAATTGAAACTCACGATTATATTGACCAATAAACGACCCATAGAAACGTATAAAACATTTAAGCAATAACGATACTTGCCTACATTATAATGAGAGGGTAATTAGTACTACCAATTACGAGCCCTCTATTTTATTGCGCCGATGTTTATAATTGCAGCACAAACTCTCATAGCTTTGTAATGATATGAAACGCTGGCTACAAATTGCGGGCACTTAAAAACCACGGCTTGGGAAAATGAAACTCAAATCAGTTTTTTTTTATCTTTTTATTTAAAACTAGTTGTCGCCCGCGACTCCGTGGATATATAAAAAAACTTGTTATATTGATAAGTTAAATAAAAAGCAGCTCTTCAAGGCATAAATTCGAAAAAAAAAGAATAAATAGTATCCCATGTCCGTCTTTTGGCTCTAAGCTACCTCCTCGCCAATTTTCAACCATATCGGTAAAACCGTTCTTGAGCTATAAATAGTGTAACTAACACGACTTTCTTAGAAGATAAGTATTATATATATAACACGACTTTCGGTATATATATATAAGCAGATTTTTTGTAAATTTACTAACATTTCTTTTACCATTCCAATTAAGCTCTAGACTTGTGCTAGAATATGGATTACGAAAATAGTCGGTGGGATTCGAACCCCCGACCTCGTGATCGGAAATCCGTACCTTTAACCATTAAGCTATTGACGTTTAATCCTTCCCCATTTATGGCCTTTCATGTAAATAAATTGAAGTTAAAATTAATACTATTTAGACTGGACGGCAGATGCTTTTATGATTGCTTTTGTGGTATAACACTTAACTTACAATAGTTATTTTATGTACACAATAGATGTAAGAATCATCTACATTGTAAGTGATTCATTCTTTTATCGACAAATGTAACTATTTTCGTATATTCTTATTTTTCAACTTTTTAATAAATTGTACATTGATTTATGAATTACTAGATGTGGCACCGACTTCGTTCGCATGAAATATTTTAATTAATTATTTTGCTTAAATTAAAAAAAAATCAAGAAATATATAACTTTTTATGCATTAAGAGTAGCCTATGTCCTTTCTTAGGTTCTAGATAATCTGTCTGTTTAATTTGAATTGGTTCAGTAATTTTGGGGTGCAAGCGAAACGGAGATACTTTCGCATTTATAATATTAGTAAGGATTGTATATAGTGGTCAATTATTTTCGATTTACTAAATAATGGTATAAAAAGTAGCAAACGTTGCAAATCGAATCAATTTACGAATTTTCCGAATCTTGCCACTGGCTTATTTGTAGATTGAAAATTGTGATTTGATTTTGTCATTTATAATTACTATATTTTTAAAACAAAATATGATAATTATAGTTATTTTTATTTAATTAAATATTATATTTAATTTTGTAAAGAGTAAGTCCGTAAAACAAAAAACGTAGTTTAAATTTTTTCCGAACGTTCCCTTGTGTTGTCTTACCACAGCACCGCAGGGCGCAGTACTGTCTACGTACTCGAGCTTACGTAGGCGTTAGAGAAAAAAAAGCGGTTCTATATTCAAAGTTACAACGACCAATAGCGTGCGCTGTAGGCGGGGCGGTTCGTTGCCATTGGCCGAGCGCGGCAGCTAACGATGCATCGCTCGATTATAACGTTACAACGGTTTTCGATAGTTACGCGACTTGCTTTATGGCGGGGGATTTTTATTTGGCTGTCACTATGTGTTGCCATTAATTAATTTTACTAATGCCATCTTTAATTTTTTTAAAGGTCAAATTTTAAGTAATACATTTTGGAAATATCAAATCAAGTACAATAACGCATTTTTTGTTTTTTTTTTTTTTAATTTATTTTGTTACTGTAAAAGTTTAATGGAACGAATTATTATGAAATATAAACTTTTTAAAAATGGAATGTCGTGAAGCCATATAAATATCCGACCACAGCCTACAAACAAAATCCCATTGTCCTAATTATATTGTTAATGCCCAATACGGAAATTAAACCAGGCACATAGGATGCATAATTACAAGATATTATTAAAAAAATGTTGAGATTTGAGGTTAGATTTTTCATTTTTTTATATCATAAGGTGGCAAACGAGCGAGCGGCCACCTGAAATCGCTGAAATAGCGAAGTGACCGTTGCCCATAGACATACGCAAATGCATATGCGTTGCCTCCCTTTGATCGACGGAGGAGATGCACAGAAAGAAAATATTTTCCCTTTCCATGCATTCTCTCATCCGGAAAGTCCAATTCCACTTCCCATCCTTTCCTTATAAGAAAAAGGGTCGGAGAGGAAAGAGGACTAAATTAGGCCTCCGGGACGCACACTCATCAGACTGTACGCGGAATTGCTTCCACTTTACGCCTGTCTTCTGTGTGGTCGTGGTATTTCACCGGGCGAGCCGGGCCAATTCGTGCGAAGATGTTAAAGCGGGCTCTACCACTGTTAAAATTGCCTCATATTTTACGGAACAAAGATATAAACTATTTATAAATATTATAAGGTAATTAAAAAAATTATACAACTGTTTTTATTAAAGATATATCTGAATCAAATAATACTACATTAAATATTGCTTATTCCAATCACTGCAATTAAACGTAGGATTTTATGTGCATAATAAAACTGATTTATAAGTAGGTTTAGTTGTAAATCCTGGTACAAAGTTGCATTTAAGACTTTGAATTTTAATATCCAATCGCGTTGTGAATAAAAGAAATTTAGTTAATCTTTATATATATAATTCTTCTGTGAGTGTGTATGTCACTGAACTTCTCTCAAACGACTGGACCGATTTTGATGAAATTTTTTGTGTGTGTTCAAGGGGATCTGGGAATGGTTTAGATTCACAATTTTCATCAAATATTAACTTCATATTATAATAAGTTTACGAGAAAGTATTCGGTAACGAAATCGACAAAATTTGTATTAGATTTGTACAGCCCTATCAGGCGTAAAGTACGACAAATCTCATACATATTTTGATATATTTGGTTGTTGATGTTACGCACATATTCGTGATACGTTCTCTGATATAAAACCAATGGGGTTTGAATAAAACAAACACATAGTAATAAAAGGAAGTACCTATGAATTGAATCGTCTAAAGTGCATTTATTTGTTTGTAGCGTAGTTCCATTCTCACGTAAATAAAAAGAATGGACACTTCCAGCAACATAAAGTGCATCTTAACAGTGTGCGAGGCGAGTGATGTGTGACCGAGTGTCCTTTGGAACTTGAATAGGTCTTTTATCGTCGACGTCTCTTGGACAAAGGGAAGTCGTAAAGCCAAGTGCCGGCGTAGCGCGACCTCCTAAGCGACGCTAGTGATGTACCCTGCGTACCAATTGTCAAACTTATCCATGTCTATTGTCCAAATGTCGATTGCACATTTTTATTTCAGAGGTTTTGCGTCTTAAGAGTTATAAAAATATTGAAATTAGATTTCCCATTCACACATATGATATATACACATTCTTACGATGAAGGAAAACATCGTGATGGAACCTGTACATATCTGATAAGAAATTCAAAGATATGTGTGAAGTCAATCAATCCGCATTTGGCCAGCATGGTTGACTATGGCCTAGTCACCCCTAACCTTAGGGTAGGCTCCGATCCCCTCGGTGGGGACGTATAGTGAGCTGATGATGATGACATATTTTAGGAGGATTAATAATTCTTTTATGAAGCGATATTTCACCTTTATTTATCTCCGTTAAGGAGTTTGTTTAATCTTCAAGTCGACAAGAATGTTCCCAGTAAACAAATCTCAAGTCCCAGGGGATTGTCGGCGATTGTCTACTGTTTATAATAAATTACAATTATTTACTTTATCGTTTGACATTTATAAACAGACTATAAGATTAACTCGCTTCATAGAAGCGTTTATTTGTAGAATCGGTTTACAGTTCCGGGCACTGATGCGTAGGTATTGTTAGTGCTAAATATACACGGCCGATTTAAAAGCGGGACAGCTCTATGTCTTATTTTAGTCTATGGTGTATGCCACACAACTAAATGTTAGACGAGATATTTTGTTTACTCTCTGTCAAGTGTCAAAGATAATTATAAACCACCTATCTTGCTATCTTATTAATATTCTCTCTCTCTCTCAACGTGCCTCTCTATTTAATGGAGGTTGGCCGTCAGTTCAGTGAACTTTCGATTCCTGCCGCTGAGTTCCGTCATAGGACGACACGACAGACCGCCAGGTTCCATCCACACCACCTGGATGGCTGGCATTCCACAACGGTCAGATTCTCGCGCAACTTCATGTCTTGCACAGCCGCGTTGTGGAACGGTCTGTCCTCGGCGGTATTTCCAAACCAATACAACTTGGGGACCTTCAAGAAGCGAGCATACCATTTCCTTAAAAGCCGGCAACGCATCTCCAGTTCCTCTGGTGTTGCAGATGTCCATGGGTGTCGTTGATCACCTCGGTGTTCCCGCCGCTCGTTTGCCCCCTTCTGTTATTAAAAAAAAATCTTGTGACAACCGAAATAAATAAATAAATATTATAAATGCGATACTTATACTATTATTATTACTTACTAATATTATAAATTCGAATGTTAAGATACAGATAGATAAGATAATTTTGGTAAACGAAAACCAACTTTAAGACAATGATAGCAGAGATTAACTTAGCCTATATAATGTTTGTTGCAGCGGTGTCCCTTGAAACCCTGGTGGAGAACTGTCACAGACTACTGGAGAAGTTCCACTATTCGTGGGAGATGATGCCGCTAGTTTTGGTCATCCTCAACTACGCAGGCAGTGACCTTGACGAGGCGTCGCGGAAGATAGATGAAGGTTAGTACAACACACAGCTAACGCCATACTCAGAATAATTACTGGGGTAAACTTAAGTGTACATTTAAATAGAAGAAATGTACATAAAGGGTCTGCTTCAGGGCTTATTGAAAATTCTGGGTATGGCAGTTGATGTTATATATTGCAACGCGAATTGAATATTTTTTAAATGTGATTTTATTTTATTTTTTTCTTGCATTTTATTTATTGTTTCAATTGGTTTGATTAATTTAATTTAATTAACATTTATGAAATTATAAGTTGAATGGCGTTTTATAATTGTTCATCAATTCATGTTACGGTTTAAGTATTTTTAAATTTGTGGAATTATGCTATGACCACGTAAAATTAGTTAAGGAAAAATTGTTAGAATTATCATTTACTTTAGTATTTATAATATTATACAAGTTATTGGCAGAACAGTTTCGCTATTAAAAAAAAAGCTTAATTAGTCTATGTGTTCTTCCAGACTTTGTTCTACATCTATGCTATTACGATCTATGCAGCCTTTATCTTACACATATACAAATATTATTTTTAATGATAACTCTCTTAAGAGATTGAAAGTTAAAAAACATTTTATTAAATAAAACTTAAATTACTTTGAAGCACTTATGTAAATTAAAAAAAACTTCTTTTCTATGAGTATTTTTTTTTTACAAAAGTTGGAAATTTTCATTTCAATAAACGTAACTTTAAAATACATTAGTTTTTTGATGCATGAAACCGAAATTAAACATTTTAAATTTTAAAACAATTCTTGTTTGCAATATATTGTATTAATTTTCCGACTAATAATTGCTGAGAGAAATTTACATTAATATTAAAACAACTACTATTTATTACAATTTAATTTATAATCTTATACGTACAAACTCTACCACGGGTTTATTAATTGACCCTTGGTAGAATTTAATTAAAAAAAAATTATGAAAACTTAATTATTAGTTTATAAAACTTTAACATGAATTGTTTGAACACTTTTAAAATATTTTGCTTTACGTACGTAAATATCGCAATTGCAATTTGATGAGATTTTTTAAATTATATTAAACTGGATTTGTTTTATTAAAAATAAATTACTCATTTTATTTGGTCAATTTTTTTATGTTTTTTAAATCTATGATAAATTTATTTAGAATTGTTTTTGGTAAAACAAATTCAGTTGTTTGCAAGTTTAGCGAATTGCTTATATTATTTGAAAACGGAAATCCTTTTCTGTGTTTCTTATGTAGAGCGTCGGTGGTTAAAGTATTTGACTTGTAATCTACAGGTCTTAGGTTCTAATCCTGGCGTGTACCAATGTCTTTTATTATTTTCGGTTTATATAAGTAAACTAGCGGACCCGACAGACGTTGTCCTGTCTACACGTCTTTATTTTGAATAAATTAATAAGAAGTTAATATTTGATGAAAATTGTGAATCTAAACCATTCCCAGATCCCCTTGAACACACACAAAAAATTTCATCAAAATCGGTCCTGTCGTTTGAGAGAAGTTCAGTGACACACACTCACAGAAGAATTATATATATATTATAAAGATTTATCCGATGTTCTGATGATCCGATGATATGTGTGAAGTCAAAACCCGCACTGGGCCAGTGTTGACTATGTCCTAGTCACCACTAATTTAGGGTAGTCTCTGAACCTTTTATTGGGGACGTATAGTGTATTGATGATGTTTGTAATAAAATTATTGCGATGGATAGATAAGTAATTGCTTGGAAAATACTTTGTTCCAACTTAAACGTACCTTTTGATATTCCTGATAGTTAATTATGTCTATTACTTTGAATCAAGTTACCAACCGCAACCATCAGCGCAAAAATGTCGAAATCAAATAAGTTTTACTTACTTACAACGAATACTCCCTTTAATAGAGGTCAGTGCTTCCTACTTAACGACTTATTTTCATCGACAAATTTAGGCTGTTGAAATGGATATAATATATAGATTCTTTTGTTTTAAAAAAATATTCCATAGTTTTTTTCTGACTACCTCCTGAATACCTCCAAAACGTGTTCCTTCTCTAATTGTCATCCAAATGCATTGATACCAATAATATTTGCAGGGGTATTTCTGCAGTAAAACGGTTTAAATGAGCATTTCTTGTATATATGAAATTGGAATATCGGAATCGGCTCCAACGATTTTCATAAAATTTAGTATATAGGGGGTTTCGGAGGCGATTAATCGATCTAGCTGGGAATCATTTTTAGAAAATGTCATTTTATTCGTGTTTTATCGATAATCAACTTAAACATAAACTTAACTTTTTCTTTCGGTAAGATCGAAAAATATTATTCATATTTCATCATTTTATTAGTAATTCGTACTTAAATATAATTTCGAAAAAACACAATTTAAAATAAAATACCGAGCAAACCTCGGTCATACAGGTACCTTTTACCACCATGTACCATTATCTTAAAGGGCCCGATTTTTACTACGTTTGTGTATAAATTTATATAACTTAAATCTTAACTTACGAGATATATTTTCTTAATATAAGACAGCAAATGATTTTCATTTTACTTTGTCAACATGTTGTATTGATTGAAAAAACTGCAATTAGTTGTTTTGAGATTAAAAATTGTTTTGAGTAAGAAATAAACGTGTTAATTTCATAAGTATTTGACTATACGTACTATTAAGGAATTTCTATTAAACATATATTTGCTAGTAAAGTAACATTATATTTAACTTTACTAGCCACATTTATAGAGTATAAGTTTCTAGTCACAGTAGTTTGATCTGTGCAATAATAAATCAATCAGTAAATCAGTTTACTCTTTTGTATAAATAAGCAGTTTTTTCCTTCAATCTGCCCGCGAAGCGTTTAAAAGCAAAATTGTTTGTTCGCAGGAAAGCTCATCGTGAACGAATACGCGAGGAAGCACAATTTGAACATCTTTGATGGTCTTGAGCTGCGGAACTCGACACGCCAGTACGGACTTTAATACAGTAATAATTAGTTGTTCTAAAACAGACACGCAAACATACAAACACGTGATACGTTTAGGTACACAACAGACTAAACTATACAATTACAAAGACTAAAAACAAATTCCAACAAAGATTAAATAAAAAACAGGCAATTTTTAAATCTGTTATTTAATTTCTTATTTGACTAATAATTAATTAAAATAAAAACTACAAAACATTCCTAATCAATTCGGTGTAAATGATTCATCGTAATGTGACACTGTTCGAAAGTTTACACAAAGTTTAAATTTAGAATTCGAATGCGAATGTGCTATCATAAAACCGTTGTAAAGATCAAACATGAACATGTCAGCCGTTACTAGCAACATTCAAAGGTGACGTTTATGTCGGACACGGACCGCGAATGTGTCGGTTCTAATAAAAGATTTCGCCAATTAATATAACTTAACTGATAAATTTGTGATTTAAAATCACTTTTGTTACTAAAATTGTTAGGTTTTATATCAAAAGGCGGCAAGTGAGCGAGCGGCTACCTGAAATCGCTGAACTAGCGAAGTGACCGTTGCTCATAAACATACGCAATTGCATATGCGTTGCCTACCTTTATTCGACGGAGGAGAAGATGCACAGAAAGAAAATATTTTCCCTTTCCATGCATCCTCTCAAATACTAATAAATTTGATTAAGTAAATTTCAGTATGATATCTAATATATAAATATATGAAGGCTGTTTTCAGTATAGTATTTGGTCAAGTAAATTTCATGACTCAAAAATATATCATACATCACAATGCATACGATGACGAAAATGTATTTGATTTAAAAATAAAAAGTACATATGTTTATATGATCACAGCCCTAGTTATTAATTCAATTAAACGTCCCTAATTTTCATAATTTATTTGAATTTTAATTTTTTTTCAAACAGTATTATTAAATGCAATTAAAACTGTTATTCGTAACCGTTTAACATTTTTGAATGCCATCAAATTTTGTATATATTTTGAAGTTATCGATATATTACACACATCACTACGGTGTGGCGTGCGTGGTGCGCGCAATTTGAGTCAGTTGCATATCGTAATTAGACAACATTGATGCAACCACAGATATGACTAATGAAACAGTTACAGCGGCAATTTGTACTCAATATTCATGAGGAATCATTCCCAGGTAATGGAGCATTTAACTTCGTTGAGTCTTTAACCTCATTAAGATGATGAGTGCAAATCTTTAGCTGGATATGTTAAATAAGATGTAGTTTGAGAAATAAATCAATAATTGTTTATACCATCAAACAATTATAAAGAAGAATATTTTCTCTTCATCCTATATCTGTATTTCGAGTAATAGAAACCGAAATATGTACGTACGTAATACGTTAATACTATGACCACAGTTGAATTAATCAGGTTCGGTTATATTAAAATAAATTGCTGCGACTTTCTGATAAAACAAAAAACTTATATAAGGGTTTTTGAAACAATATTGCAAATACATTTTCGTCTGACAATGTAACACACTGCAACAACAGTGTTGCTTTAAAATTAATCAGAACACGCACACTACAATAGCTGTTACTCTGTAGAAGAATGTCAGCGAACACACAAACTGGCAGTACACAGCTCTAACCAGTAGTGATTTCCACTTTACAGTGACCGGACGAAGGTGGAGAAATTCGAAATATAAATCAATCGATATGTGACTCTTCCGTACGAAGCGTTCACGAATAGTGTTGTGTTTGTGCGTGTTAATTATATCGATATATTATTTGATTAGTGTTGTTTTTCTTTTTTTGTAGGAAAATGCTGAGCGAAATTAATAATATAAGTGGTGTACTATCGTCGTCTATGAAGTTATTTTGCGAATGATACTATGTTTTACAAGTGCTGTGTTTTGTGTGGACGCGAGCTGTGCTGTGCACTGTTGCTTGTTGCGAAATACGGACTGATTGGCTGTCAACACAACGGATGCAGGTGAGTTATATCTTACTATCTTTAGACGTCGCATTTTGTTTTTATACCTCAAATAACATTGAAACATTCATTGCAAC